GAGCCTGGGGTGCGAGGAGTGTGGGAGATGCCTCGCAGAGCAGGACGATCCCTAGGAGGAGGCCAGAGCAGCTCCGGCAGACACCTCTCACGGCCCACCCTTTGCAGTTAACACCGCCCCCCTCCTCCCCAAACTTCAACTCCTAAACAACAGCCTCAGCAGCCAGCTGCTCTGCCCAGGGCAGGAGAGAACACGTGTCCTCATCCACCCAAGTTCTAAGTTCCGCACCCCCGTCCTCCAGTGTGAAGCGGTTGGACAACGGGAGGGGAGAAAGGAAATCGCAGACACATTCTTCATTTATGCAACTGGCTCTGGCCACCCACGTGGTGTTTGTACCCTTTCTTCTACTGTTTATGCTTCGCTCTTTTGTCCTCTGTCAGCACCTCCCTGGGGCTGGGTTCTCGGCCTGGAAGATGAACCCGGAGGGTTGCTTTATCCCATTTTGATCTCTCAGTAGTACTTCCTGTGTGGGGTTACTGCAGACTTCACCGACTATCACAAGACCCTGCAGAAACAGGAAGCAGTCCCCCGAATCATGTGGGATCCGGAACATCCCCTCCACCCCCACAGAAGGGAGCAGCCCTATTTCCCCTTGACTATTGGGATCAGTGACCCCAGCCACCATTTTCTCTGTTGATCCAGTGCCACCATTAGCTCCGAATGGCCAGGGGGTCCTTCCCCTTCATTAGGTCTGTGGCTGCGTCCATGGTTATATCTTCCCTCGGGCGCTAAGACCTCGACACCGGCACAGCCTGAGGATTAAAAATGTTGCCAGCAGTCCCTGGGTGCATCCATCTCATGTTTCCCTGACCTGGGTGTTCTGCCTGTGGGAGGAAGAGGATTGCATATTCGCTGGTGCGACGCACAGACTGCAGCTGACCTGGTGGCACTCCGCCTCATGTCACTGTCCATCTCGCACCGTAACGGAGTCTTTTCAAGGTCTCTCCAGCACGCTCTGCTCTTCCGGAATGCCACCTGCTGCTGGGTGGTGGATGCGGGCGAGACCGGCGAATTCCAGGGTCACGCCATTGCCTCCCTTCTTTGTGTGAGGAGCGGGCTCGGGCTCCTTTGCCAGGAGCAGTGGGCGTGAGGCCCAAGGGAGGCAGTCGGCGACTCCGCGGGGCGGGCAGGGAGGGCAGGTCTGCATCCCAGAAGGATGCCTGTTCTGGCGAGGCCAGTGGTATGCCCGCCTTGGCTGGGAAGAGCCTGGTTCTCCCAGGGTGTGTGCTCCTGGAGGGGGCTCAGCTGACGCCTCGGCCGCCCCAGGGATGGGAGAGCAGGCCTCTGGGCCCCCGCTGTGTGCTCCATCCCTGCCTCCGTGTCTCTGTGTCCACGAGTCCACCAGGCATACATTGTGGGGGGCCTTGGGGAAAGGGCTCAGTGACACCCTCAGCATGGGACAGCGTCCTCTGCGGGGGGACCAGATACCCTCCCACTCTGGGCTCATTCTGAGGGGCCCAGCCCCCAGGCCCCTCCAGCCCCGTTTTTCCCAAGCTGTGACCATTGGGCCAAACCTGTAGACACTCCTCACGCTTGCTGTGTGCACATGCCCTCAACTGTCCTTGCGGGACGCGGGGGGAAATGGGCTGTGCTGCTGGGGTCAGGCCCAAGGGGAGGATTTCCCCTTTTCATCTACCTCCTGGCCTCCCAGGGTGGGGCTGCCACGTGGCGGCATCTACTTTTGGTGGGTGCAGAGCCTGCAAACCAGGCCTGACTTCCTTTATCCTCCCCAGCTGGCCACGGGGACACTCCTGAGACCTTGGGGGATGCGGAGGGAGACAGGGCGGAGCCATCGGAGTAGGTGCCCCGGCGTGGGCGTTGCCACCACTTCGCGCTGCTACACCTTGGTGGGGGCGGCTGCTTGGCCTGGCCCAGGGTGGCCTGGGAGATGGGATGGCCTCCAGGCTCCTGGATCCCCTGAGATCCGTGGCTGGAAGTACTGTCTCCACAGGTCTCAGAGCATCTGCTGTCTGTGCATCTGAGGAACGCTTTCTCTGCTGAAGAGGCTGCGACGTCGCTTCAAAACCCCAGGGTCAGGCGTGGTGATTCTCCAGCGAGGCTCCCATCCGCACAGACACTCTGAGCTCGACTGGGCCTCAAGGACCCCAGATGCCACGAGGCGAGCTGCCTGCGCTGTAGCGGGACCTGCCGGCAGGCCTCCTCCTGCTCCGGCGCCCTCGGAGGGGGCAGCGTTGCAGGTTCCTGGCTCGAGGCGCTTGCCTTCGTGGTGAGTTTCAAGGTCCAACAACCTTCATTTTCTCACATCTGGAGGGGATATCCAAACACAGCCCAGATCTGAATATACTTCCCTGAATTTTCAAGAGGTTTGTGTCCTGCCACCTGGTCCACCTGGGTCTTGGCAAGGTGTCAGCGTCTGCCCAAGATGCCTCGCTCCGGGATCTAGTTGCCATGGCGCCATCTGTGCAGTGGACCATCATGATCCCGTGGGATGCCGGGCATGGAGGCCCCTATGGAATTATGGCTCTAAGACATAGATGACAGAGCTCCGGGTCTGGGCCTGGACTGTATGGATGCCTCGTCAGGGCTAAGCAAAGTGTATCTAAGCGTGACAGATTAAGAAAAGCACAGATGGGTCAATAACCAGCTGCAGGTCCTCCAGCAAGGAGACCGCATCTGGGGCACCAGCTTTGGGAATCACTGCCCGAGCAAGTCTGGGATGGTCCCAGACACTAAGACCCGCCTGTCCCCTGCCTGTCCTCTGCATGGGTCCTTCAGGGAAGCTTAGTGGGGATGTGGGAAAACTCTCCCCCGTCTGGTGCTGACGCGGGACCTGAATCTCCCCGGGGAGGTAGGGTTGCTTTCGTTGCCATTTAGTAGGAAAGGGTGGTTCCAGAGACTTCTACTTGCCCTTACTGCTATAATAACCTCCACTACATGGGTGGGCGCCAGTGTAGGACTGTCAGGGTTCAGAGTTGGCATGTTCCCACTGTACATGTGCGGGGTGCAGCAATAGCTGGTATGGTCTGTGGGCCCCTTGGGGTCGCCATGAGGTGCCTCGGGCCCCACTCCAGCACCGTCTGCCCTCCGTAAGTCCCTCTCTGATGGGCCACAGTGACTCAGGGCCTCAGGGATTAGCATAGGTCAGAGCCAGTGCCTGGCAACCCCCGAAGGTCTGGGTGTCCCCTCCTGCGGGCAGCCTACTGGCCAGAGACCACAGGTCCCTTTGGGGAAGGCTGATGGCAGACATGGGCGGTGCTGCAGGACGTTGTCTGCACAAATGACCGCAGTGCTTCCCTATACACGCACCCCTTTGCCATGCGAATTTGTGGCAACTCCAGCCAAGAAGTGGAAAGTATATTTCCCCTTGAATCTGGGTGGCCGTGTGCCTTTCTTTGACCCACAGGGGTAGTGCATGTGACATTGTGCCAGTTCTGAGCCAAGGCCTCCGGAGGTGCCTACTTCTGTTCTTTTCCCTGGAACCCTGCCTCCTCCATGAGAACAAGCCCCTGCTAGGCTGCTGGGAGCCAAGACAAGCCGCCCAGCTGGGGCTCCGCACCCTGGGAGAGGGGTGGCCAGGCGAGCTGAGCACGCCTTAGTCAAGCAGAACTTCCGGCTGGCCTCAGGACTCTTGTGGGGTAACTGTGTTTTAAGCCTGTAGGTTCTGGAGTGGTCTGTTACACAGCAGTGGCCGGCAGAGGCAGGTGCTAGCCCGGTGCCAATCCCAGGGATCCTGGCCCCTCTCCATTCAAGGACTCAGGGCCTATGAGCTGATTGGAGGTGTGTGAGGCTGGGGAGGGGAGGACTTTTGTGCAGCCCCTGTGCTCCGGGCCTAGAGGAGTTTCTGGCTGTACAGGTCAGGCAAGGCCATAAAGGGCTGCCCACCCTTTCAGCCCCAGGGGCCTTGTGATCGACTGGCCACTCTAAGAGAGCCCCAGGAGTTAAGCTATGCTCTGGAGCATTCTGGCTGTGCAGCCCATTGGGGTCACTGTGCCACGTGGCCTCTAGATCTGCTGCTCTGGGTCCCAGGGTAACAGTGTCCCCTGTCTACCATGGCCTCCTCTGCTCACAGGGCAGTATCCTTGTGTGCTCCCAGATCCTTCACTCCCTTGAGCCATGGTCAGGTCAGATATGCAACCCAGATTTCTCTCTGAACACCGATGTCTGCGAGGCTCGGATTTTATGGAAGAGAGAAGATCCATTCTATTCTGTTTAAGTGTAAAGGGATTCACCATAGGGTATGAAATGGCTTAAGGAACCATTGGGTGGTCTGAAAAAGGATAGTTGAGCTAAATTTCCAGGAACGACCTTTAAAGGAACGCTACAGAACTGGACTGGCCGGGGACCTGCCTCCATGTGCCAGTCAGGAAGCTGCCCAGGAGCCCAGCCCAGCCAACCCACCCAGCTCAGCTCCGCACACAGGCATTTGATTGCTGGGATCCACATTTCACCTTGACCTCAAGCTGCAAGGTGCTCTGGGAAATGTAGTTTTTCACTTTCTAGCTCCTGCAGTCCAGGAAGGCCCCTTCAGAGACAGTGACTAGATGGAGAAAGCTGGCACCCCACATCCTCGCGCCCGGTAACTCTCTGCACCTTCCTGCCATGTCGCACTAACTCTGTCAGGACGGGGAAAGTTGGCCTCTAAAAGTCACGACTGATTGTTAGACATTCACTTCCAGCTGCTCCTTCTCTGCCATTTGGTGTTTCTCTGACCCACTGCCTGCCTCTATGATTTGGCAAGTTTGCCAAAAGCTCACGGGATAAGGCATTTCATTCCTTGTACCATGTTATGTGTCTCTGTCTTTTTTTCGCAGGGGGCCCATAACACCGTGCCTAGACGCTGCTCTAGATCACGGCGGCTGCAGACGCCCCTGTTGGGAGAGCTGGAGTGGCCGGGGGAACCAGCCTAGTGCCATCTGCCCTCCGCAGCTCTCTGTAACCACACTGACCTCCTTTCTTAATAAGACAGGGAGAGAGGGGTGGAGGGAAGGGACGGGAGGCAAGGGGAGGGGGGGGGAGACGGGAAGAAAAAGCAACACAAAAGCTGCTTGCTCTCAGGTAAATGCCAGTATTTGCTGCAGGAAAAAGCATTATGTTATCTTCATTAAGTTTCTTTTTACAGTTACCTTCTGTTTTTGAAAAATGGATTCTGGTGTTTCATTTAGGGCAAGACATACTTTCATTTCCCTTTTGAAATAAGTATATTTTGCTAAAAAGCCAAGTCCATCCGAGGAATGATAGTGAGTTGCGTCGCCTCCCCCCGCCTGCCCTTTCACCCCAAGGATGAGGAGAGCAGACCGCCTGGTCAGAAGCCTGGACAACCGTGGGCCTCCTTCGCCCACACGCCTTACATCTCGGGCATAAATGAATACAAATCTTCCAAGTAGGAACCCCGGCTTTTTCTCCCACTGGCAGATGTGGCTTTTCATCCCACCCAATTGGCAAGGCCTGAGGTTCAGGCTTGAGGGGCTGGGAGGTGGACGGAGCTACCTAACTGTCAGCCCAGGCGCCCGGTGGCCTGCAGGGCAGATGGGCCCAGCTGCATTTTTCTGCTTCCCTCTCCCTCCTCCAGCGCCCCCTCAGGTTTTGCAGAGAGGAGGGTGTGCGCCAAAGCAGAAGGCAGGGGTGGGGCCCCGAACCAATATATTGTCGTCTAGCTCCCATTCCCCAGCTTTTGACTCTGTGTGTCTGGCCCTGTGTTGGATGCCTCTGTGGACATCTTGGTTCAACAGGTCCAAATTCTCCAAACATGTTCAGGTGGTCCGGGGGTACCATGAACAGGTTCAGCTTGGCAGGAAGATTGACCAGGAAGAAGAAAGCTGCACATATAACCCCAGCAGCTGCCCAGGTTTGCTCCCACCAGGAAGGGAGCCAGAGGGTGGCCAGAACCAGGGGCTCTGACCTTGCTTCCCTGATCACCACCACTCGGGCGAGTGGTACAGCCCGAGTCTGCTGCTGACGTGATATCCCGAGCAGTGTCCGGGCACGGCCTCCCCGCCCCAGGTCTTCTCTGGGCCTTTTCCGCCCCACAGTCTGGGGAACTTTGCCCAGACCCAATGCACAGAAAGGAGGGGAACATTCCCTAAGCCCCGCCTCCCCACCCCTCACACCGTTTCTCAACATCCCCATATTGGCTTGGCTGGGAGCTGCTTTTCTCTGTCAGGCTTTCCTGGGAGTGGGTTGGCTTTGGGGTGTTTTAAGACACCCCTTTCTGACCACTGCCTCATTGGATTCCTTTGGAATGGTTCTGCTCTTACAGTGGTTCCCCCACGGGAATTTAGAGCACAGCTTTCTGTGTGTGTCTCTCTCCCCTTCCTGCCCACCATGGACATCTGGGAACATTTTCAGGTAAACACAAACCAACGTTATAGTCCTTATTTTCCAGGCTAGAAACTTGGTTTTTAACGGACATTTGCAATGTTGCAATGTGTGGAGATCATTCTCCTCAAGAGAAGCCACTGGTGATAGCCCTCTGGCGTGGGCTAGACTCTGAACTCAGTGCTTTTTCTGAGTTGTTTTGTTAACTCATCTCAGTGACTGATGGGGACATATCACCTCCATTTGATGGATGGAAAACTGAGATTTGGGAGTTTAAATACTTCCATCAGGGGAGCACCTGGGGCTTGGAAGAAGTTGTGAAGATGCCACTTGGAAGGATTAGAACAGATTGAAATCCAGGGCTTTTTAATTCCAAAAGGCTGGTTTCTTTCTACAACATTAGTGGATTCTCAAACCTAGTTTGAAGCTCCATAAACGCAGGTAGAATGCACTAATTTTTGGCCACCATGGTCCCATCTCAAGTCACTGTGGGGTTCAGATAGCTGCGATTTACCAAGCGGCACAGATATTCTGATGCCTGTTCAGGCGCGCTGGCCAGTGAACCATGCCACGCTGTCTTGTTCCAGGAATGCACCTGTGGCTACCTGACTTCCTGCTTAGCTTTCTGAAAAGTAAACTGAGTTCATGATGTGGCTCACTTCTAAATGAAATTTCTAAGTGAAATTCAAATTGGAGCAAAATTCACTTGGATAAATCACTTTTTCCCCTCTTGAAAATGTCTAGGAAATTGGCTAAGTCTCCCTCAAGGTTTTTATCAAAGTTTTCCCATAGAGGTACTATTGTCAGTATTCATAGAGCCAAATCTTGCACATTTGACACATCTCCACTGATGTTTTGAATGATGACCCTGCAGGCCTCAAAGAAAGACTGGACTATGTTCAGAAGACTTTGCTACTGAAGCCAAAGGAAGACAGTTAAATCCTATTGTATTAAAAAAGGAAAGAAGAAAGCAAAGAACAAAGAGAATTTTCTATTTCATCCTCCATGGCACACCTGTTAGATGACTGTAAGTTCCATTTCCTCATCCTGTGCATACAGGAAATCTCCACTTCCCAGCTTCAGGGTCACATGACTGGGGTTAGCCAATGGGGTGAGGTCAGGAGTGGATGTACCACTTCCAGACCTAAACATGGCCATCCATCCCTGCCCTTCTTGGCAACTTGAGAGGCCAGGTATCCAGATGATGTGGTCGCAAGACAGAGGGAGCCTGAAGTTCGGAGTCACTGCTTGGAGGAGTCAAAGACAGCCCCTCTGTCCTACCTGGGACTGTGACAAGAGAGAGACATAAACTGTTCTTTGTGAACACTGGGATTTTGGTGGTGTTTGCTGTAGCAGTCAATGCCGATCACCCTAATATGCCCACTTAACAGAATCCTGTTAACCAGAAACCCTCCTCCCCAATAATCATTGTCAATAAAGACTGAGAAGTTGTGGGCAGTACTGTCTTTATTTAAGTAATTAATATTTATGTGGCACTTTGTAGCTCAGGCTCTGTGGTAAATGCGTTCTTACATCATGTTATTTAACTGTCCAGGGCAACCTGAGGAGACGTGGGCATCTCCGTTTTACAGATAAGGAAACGAGGACTCAGCACGGGCAGCGAGAGCTGGCGCCGGAGTTTGAACACGGGTCTGTCTTGTTTCAGGCCTGGCTTCTCATCCTGCGAGATATCCTTTCAATCTGGACGGGTCACAGAGGGACCACGGAGGAAAGTGGGAGCGCACCTCCAGCTGATCTGGAAGGTGCCTATGCTAAGGCCTGAGAAACGATGAGGTGTCTGGACAATGGCTTCTAGAGAATGCCGGTTAAATAACTTCTTGATGTGGCATCTGCTTTGATGACCTAGAATGTTACCATGTTGTTTCAAGTGATGAAGGATATACAGCCCCGCTGTGGGCAAGATCATTCTGGCATCTGGTCCTCTCTCAGACGGTCTCACATTTCATTTTACCCAGTGAAGATTTTAGCTCATTTTCAAAGCCTCTCTCTCTCCTTCCTCCCATTGCACCTCCTTCACAGTTGGAGTCAGCAAAGCAGAATTTCAGGTCTTCAGTTGATCCAATCGATATGCCTACCGCCTCAATCTAAAAATGGCTTCTGAGGGCATTTTCAGTTGAATGACCTCATTTTCAGGCATGGGGGTTGTCTGTTCAGGTCCCTGGGGGTGTGACTTACAGTTGAGTAAGGTGTCTTCTCATAGTTGTGCACAATTGATTTTTCTTTTCAGGTTGTCTTGGTTTAAAATTTTAACTCCCCAAACTCAAATTGGCAAAAGGTGTCCTTATTCCCAGGGGAGTTGAATGGAGCTGGAATTCCCTTGTGTGGAATGTTTTCAGTCACAGAGACCCCATGACTTCTTGTGAGGTTCCTTCTTTTTCCAACGGGTGTGAGTGAACTCTGCAGAGCTGGGAGAAAGCAGATGCGTTTAGAAATCAGCTCCTGGACAGATGCCTTCCTTCTGCTGTGCTTATGGGAGATTTCCAACTTGTAGGATTCTAAAATGCACCTGCAGCCCCTGGAAGGGAGTCTGTTGGTTTTTGGAAGGTGGTAGTAGTGAAATGGCTGATGGCGCGGTTTCTGTGCCCGGCTAGCTGTGCTGTCGCCCAGTGATCCTGTGGGAGGCCGTTAGCTGTGGCTGACCACCTGGTCCCAATCCACTTGATGAATATTTATGGAGCCAGTGGCTGGGAGGAAGGTGGGCATTTCCTTCCTTACCAGGTTGGACATGCTGTGGCTGTGATTCTCTAGATTCCTGACTGGCCCCTGTCCCTGCTGGGCAAGAGCCCACCTTTATCTTAGGTTCAGGCTACTATCCAGAGGGAGGAAACTCTTTGCCAATGTGGCACCATCAGAAGGAGGCGTCATCTTTCCAAGTCCTCTTCAGGCAGACGCATCTGGTAAGCATGTTTGGGGGGCAGCCCTTCCTACCTGGCTGGGGCTTCAGGTTCTGGAAGGGAGAAGATACAGTCTCCATGAGCATTTGCTCCTGCAAGTGTGTGAGAGCATGTGCACGGGTGCTCGTGTCAGTGAGAGGGGAGTGTGTGTGCGTGAAGCACAGGGGACCATCGAGGAGGCATCACAGGGAAATAGCTGAAGGACCAGACCTGGGTTCTAGAAGAAGTTAGAGGGAAGGGCGTTGGTCAGCCTGTGGGTGGGTGGGGGGTCCCTCTCCTTGTTCCTGTTGGGTTCTCCCAGCAGCCCCGTGGGTAGACCCGGGAAATAAATGGAATCTCAGAGAGGTTAAGTGACCAGCCCGAGGCCATGGGGCTTTGAAGTGCAGAATGGTATTTGGAAGAGGCTTTAGGAAGGGGAACTGGTGTGCTTGCGTGGGTCAAGGGCAATGAAAGGAACGTTAGCTTAAATTAAGGTGGGAGACACCCCAGTCAGGAAGTGCTTCTCGACCTAAAAGTGCTTCCTCCAAATGAGGTCCCCAGAGTGCTAAGAGAGGGAGGGACACAGCCTTTCTGGTAGATGAGTGAGTCCCCAGGCAGCCTCCCCACCCAGATCCTGCATTGCAGGGACTGGCTTTGCCCCTTGGAGTCTAGGACTCTCTCTCCTCACTCCTGGGTCACAGCATGAGGTCACACACACACACACACACAAAGATAAAGAAAAGATAATCCATGTTTAGAGCAAAACAGAAGTATCTCCTGCTCCCTGGATTTAGGATTTTCTTCTTTGAGCTCACATTTCAACGATGCATCCCTTGGCTTTGGTACGTATGCAAAATGGAGGGAAATGAAGAGATGAATGACTTTTTTTTACCTGTTCCCACTTAAGCTTTTAACTGCTTGGGGCCTTCGGCTTTGATTTTGCACCTGATGAACTGTGCTTGCTTATCAGGCGTTGATGAGATGCAGGAGGCGCATCTTTAATGCTGGCCACAAGTGTCACAGGGTGCTGGGTGGTCCGTAGGGTATGCTCTCCACCCCTCAGCCTAACGCCTGGCTGTGACTTTTTGTTCTGTTACTTTTCCCGGAGTGCCCAGGGCAAGCCAAGCCCCTAGAATGGAAAAAAAGTCCGAGTGTCTTGCCCTGCGGAGCTGTGGCGAAAATGGCGAATGAGGGTCTTGTAGCAAAGGTATTGAGCAGGTGACTATTTCTGTCTGATCCGTTTATCCCCCATGCCCAGCCCAGTGCAGAGTGGGCATCTGATCCACAGCCTTTTGGTTCATCTACTCAGCCAGTCTTCCCTGGGCACCTCCTATGGGTCAGGCACTGTTCTAAGGGCTTGGGGTGTGTCAGTGGGCAAAACCCCCAAGGATTTACATAACATGTCAGTAGATGAAATAGTAGGTTAGAAGGTGATGTTGCTATGGAAAAATGTAAAGCTTATGAATGTAAGTGCCAGGGTGGGTGAGGGGTGGGGCAGAGGGCTGTAAGGAAGCAGGATGGCCAAGCTAGTTCTCTGGAAGAAAATGGCATTTGAACAGATGCTGGAAAGAGGGGAGGGAATTGGTTTCCGGGGAGGAATATTCCAGGCAGAGAGCAGCTCTTGCAATAGACCCAGGGGGACACGTGTCTGCCATGTTCAGGGAACAGAAAGGAGGTGGCTGGTGTGGGGAAAAGGGACGTTTCTACCGCCAGGATTCTCACCGGACCCTAAACCACTTGATAATGTAACTGGCCTGCTGCTAGGCTGCTGCTCCCACACCTGTGGGCAATGAGCTGTTACTGACCGAGTCCCGATATAAAGAGCTCCGCCCAGGGCTCTGGGTGGAGGCAGAGATGGAGGAGGTTAACAGGCCTGCGGACGGCTGGGTGCAGACGACATTCTAGTGCTCAACCTACCACCAGGAGAAGAAAGCCAGGTATAAACCTTCACCCCAAGAGCGTCCCGTTGTCGTTTCTCAGTCTCACTGAATCCATAGTGAACTTGCCTGGGGCTGAAACCCACTGGCAAGACACTGGGTGAGCTGGTGGAGGGGAGGGTGTTTGTTTTACTCTGGGTGAAACAGGGATGGTCTGCTGGATATTGTAAAGCATCCCTGTGGTGGATGAGTTGAGGGTTCACTGCAGGGTGTCCAGAGCAGAAGCTGGGAATCAGGAAAGAGGCCACTGCAGGTGAGAGGAGATTGGGACGGTGTGGACTCTGGGTCTGTGTTGAAGGCAGGGCCAGCAGGAGGGGAGGCCAGATCAGATATTAGGTACATAAGAAAGAGGGATCGGAGGGGAGGATGTGCTGCCAACAGCCGAGACAGGGCTGAGGTGGAGCTGGTTAGGAGACGCCCTTCCCGTGGAGATAATCTCACTCTACAGGCCTCACCTGTGTCATCTCATCTACAACCCAAATTCCATGTCACAAACGAGGAGACAGGTGCAGACAGCTGCAGCAACCGTCCTGAGCTTGCACAGCTGGGCTTCAGCTGAGGTCAAAGGAGGGCGGGGCCATGCTCCTGGCCACTTCTTTGCTGCAGGGTGAAGGTGTGACAGCCAATGCCCCGTTAGGGGCACACTCATGCTGCCTGGAAAGTCTGTGTATGGGGGAGCTGACAGCTCAGAAGGGCACCCTCAAATGCTCCCTGAGCTGGAAGCCTCAGGTTACTGATTTTAGAACTTGAACTTTAACTCAGGACAATGTGTACTTCATGCAGCCTACACTGAGCACGTCCTATGCACCAGGTGCGACATAAGTCATTCCTCATCTCCAGAACCCAGCTCTTAGCTCGATGTGGATAAAGTTGCTGGTTTCTGCTTATGTTGGGTTTTTCCAATCACCTTGAAAGATGTCCTTGACTAGACCTGGGCCTGGAGGCAAATTCGTATTTATCTTCAGCTGAGTGTAATGTGTACGTCGTGTCAGTGTGAGTGTGGGTGTATGTGTGTGGGTCTCCATGTGTGTACATGTGAATGTCTGTGGCTGCCTCATACACACCTCACACACCTGCCTTCCTTCACTCTGACCGGAGGCCATTCTCAGCCTCACTTTTTTCAAGGATTGTGCTTCCTGCTCAGGTCAAGAGCGTTTTCTGAATAGCAGGACGGTCAGTGCGGGGTCTGCAGCTCTCCTTAGCAGCTCCATCCTTCTTCATTTTGTAATTGCCATTTGAAATGGATTCATCTAGGAAGAAACCGGAGGCAGAGGCAGATCTCTGTATCTGTCCTTTATGATAATAAAGGAGCCACTAAATTAACAATGCCAACTTTCATTTTATTAAGTATGACATTCCTTTTGATTTAAGACTTTTCTTTTACTTCACCAAGTGCTTTTAAAGAAGGTTATGGCAAGGAAAAGTCTATTCATCTCTATAGTATATTTGGTTGCTTTTCATAAATTGTCTAGATTGCATTTTAAGGGAGTGGAAATTGAATCTGGTCTTTTTTTTTTTAATTGCTGAAGTCAATTAGCTGCTAAAGTGTTTAATTAAGAGAGAAGCGCTCAGATCAACGACCGAGTGGAGCCTTCCTGGATCGTTCAGTCCTGTTCTGCC